TCCCAAGGCAAAAAGGGCAAATCAACCCCTGTACTCTTCATCTGGTGACAAATCAGCCCCTTAACTGAAAATGGTGGGAAATGAACCCTCAAACCTTTTGGTGGCAAATCAGCCCTTTTTAGACGGAATTCAATTTAACTGACAGTGTATGTGCTTGGGTGAGATCTAGGATGACGATATAATTAGGGGTGTTCACGGTGTGGTTTGGTTTGGATTTTACTATTTTTTAAATTAATTCAATTTAATCGGTTAATAAAATTTTTAAACCAATTCAATCCATTATTATGTGATAACTAAATTAATCCAATTTAAATCGGATCGATGTGATTCGGTCTAATTGATCGGTTTTTAACATTATTAAATATATAAGATAATGTAAAAATATGTTAACATCAAATAGAAAGTATAACTATAAAATACATTAACATCGAAATCAGTAAAAACATAATAATAGGTAAAAATTATAAACAAATTATTATATTCCTTTACATTTGTAAAAATTGAAAAGCTCTTAAAATTTTTCGTGGTTACATCACTAGAGGTACCAAAAATAATAAAAAATAATTTCAAATTTCTAGCACAACGTAAATAATTCTTAAAAATTAAAATTAGTTTTTTTTTCCTAATGCACTAATAATTTAATCTAATTTTCTAAATCCTATTAAAAGTGAATTACATTTAACATGAATATTATTAAAATTGATTGGAAACATTCATAATCAAAATTTAAAACTTCTAAACCAAATATCCAAAAATAGTAGAATATTAGGATTAATTTTATTATATAGTTTTAAAGCTGTTAGAATGATACTTATTTAAAATTTAGTTAGGAGAATCATAAAATTATTTTAAGAACAAATTAGAAATTTAGGGTTCTAAGAGTGTAATATCCCAAAATTTCGGGAATTTTAGCATTTAAGTTAAGGACCTTTGTGTGAGAAAATATTATTTTGGGGCTTATTAGCTAAAATATCTAAAATTGAGGGACTTAAAAGAGGAAAGAATGTGGATAAGGATCAGCTATTTTTTTCCCTTCTTTCTTTCTTCTTCAGCCCGCATGTTCTGCTTTTCTTCTTCTTCCCAGCAGCCGAACAAAGGCCCCCAAGCCCGACAGCACCTCCCTTGAAAAACCGGTAGAAAGCTTGGATATTTCTCCTTCTTTTCTTGTTCTAGGACTAAAATTGAACCCAGAATTCTCCCCCCTGCAGAGAAATTCCAGATCTGCTCGGTTTCTCCCCCTCCCCTGTCCGTGAGCTGCAGCTTGTGATGCGATTTTCGGGCTTTTTCTGGTCAGAAACAGCCATTAAATTCTCTGTTTTTCATTGAATTGGCTTGGGTTAACTTTGATTTCTCTTGGTTTCTCCAATTTTTGGGATAGATCCCGAATTTCTCTCCAAATTGCTGCCGGCCTTCCCTTAGCTTGTAGCTCCGGTTTTTTGCTGCTAAATTTTGGTATATTGACAGCTCCTCCAAACCCGAAATTTCATCAATTAGTTGCTGAATTTTGTCCATTTATTTGCTGCCCTGTGCTGTCCGAATTTTGCTGAAAAATGGGGATGCATTTCGGTAGTAATTAGAGCATAATTAAGTTTAATTCATGTAGAAAATTATGCTTATTTTGGCTGCTGTGATTTTTGGAGAAAACCCCGTGATTAGCTGTTGTTTTGCCAATTTTGGAAGTTGCAGTTATTGTTCACGGGTACTGTTCACGCACTAGTGGCCAACAATTAACTGGGATTAAATGTTTAGTTTGTAATATAAGAACAAATTTGGAGATGTCCAGTCATGTGGAGACGGATAGAAATAGCATCGGGATTAGGGGTGGTCCTAATGATGATTTTAGTTTGAATTTGTGGTAGTGCTGTATTAATTTTGGAATATTTTGATTAGGTTCTTGATCATTGGTTGCCCTAGCACTTGGGTTGAGTTGTCTGTTTTACGGATTTGAGGTAAGTAAATTATGGTAACGACCTTCGATTTCAAAGTATGTTTTAAATTGTTTTTGAGATGGTGGCAAGGTTTAAATTAATTTTAAATTGATTTTATTTGCACCGAGCATGATTGGTTTGAAATGAAATTATTTTCATTTGCATTGAGTAGAGCATGCCTATTTGGAATTGACTGAACTACCTTGATGAGCTGAGAATTTTGTAAATTCTAAGTTTTTCTGTTAAATCTATGCTTACATGGAAATTTTTAGATTTATTTTTGAAATTTGAAATTGATTGTGAATTACGGATTTTTCTATAAATCTTGCATGGTTTTGTCTCTGATATGGTCATGTATTACTGTGCCTACTCGTGGGAGGTTTATAAATGCTAGCACATGTTGACATAGGACCGATTTATTCTGAAATCCTGCCAATGGGATAAAACATTGGTTACTACTGTGCGCGCCAGTGGGAGGTTTATAAACGCTGGTCATGACCTATAGATGAGACTATTACTAAATTTTGTTCTGCATTAACGGTTTGTCATTGAACGCTTGTTTATTGAACTGAATCTGATTTTGCATTAATGGTTTATTATTGAACATTTTGAACATTTTGTTATGTTAAACTGTTTATCAGGCATGCTAAAATTTTACTCACGGGTTATCCATATATTTACTTACTGAGATATTTTATCTCATAATTTTTCCTTGTCCACCATTTCAGGAAGCGAAGTCAAGGATGGGGAAAAATGAGGGGAGTGATGAGTTAGAAGACTAGCCACCTATAATTTGATATAGATTTTGGATATAAATCATGATCTTGTAAATTAGATTTTATTGGATATTTATGATATTAGAGCAAATTATAAAATTTGATCTTCAGATTTTGATGGTATCAGATTGTGGTATGATAAGTTCCGAGTCTTGTGCATTTGTGGGACCCTCTTACAAGTGCACGGGGTCTCCTACGTCCCCGGATTTGGATTCTGGGGTATGACAAAGAGTAAAGGCGCAAACCAGTTTTGAGATGATAAAGTTGCAGGTGAATTAGAAATTTAGAATTAAGGTTAGAGTAAATGATTAAAATGGAGAAATAACTTAGGAAATATGGAGATGTTCTATTTTTATTTTTTTAATTAAGTTAATGGAGTTATAATCTTATAAAATAAGAAAAAGAAAATTTAAAATATTAAAAAAAATATGATATATTATTTAACTAAATTATCTTCTAATTGAATTTTATTTTGTAATCGAGCAGTTCAGGCAGTTTGAAAGTAAAATCACAAACCAAACCAATTATATCGGTTTAAAAATTTTAGAATTCAAACAAATCCAATTTTATATCAATTTGGATTGGTTTTTAATTAGATTGGATCAGTTAAGGTTGGATCAATTGGGTTGAATCGAATATGAACACCTTTAGATGTAACCTTCCATGTCCAATTTTTTTTTTTTTTTTTGAGTTTTTGATCAACCAAATAAATTTTATTAATTTGGAGTATAAGGGGTATTATGTCCATTCACATAAAATTTTAGTAGTGCAAAAAAGACATAACATGGTTATATACCTATTGATTTAACACATAAGTTAAGATTATAAATCCAATCATATAAAGAGAAACCCCAACTATTAATTGAATCCTTTAACCGTAAAAAGGATTTGGTCTGTATAATCCCTGCCAAACTATTTGCATCAGTCTCTTTTGCTTGAAAGATCAATCTGTTTCTCATTCCCAAATATGAACTGATATAAATATAAGGGACCAAATCACCTTCAACTTATCATACTGCTACTTGTAAACTAGCTGCCAAAATGCCTCCTTGACAAAGCCCATTAATGCACTTTGAACCTCACCAGGCTAATATCTTCATCCACACTTTCTGCGCAAGTGGGCATTGAAACATCAAATGATCTAAATCTTCCTCATTCTCCCTCCACATCGAACATAATGCACTACCTCTATCTATTGGAATCCATGTCCATGCGTCTTAATGCTACATAATTAATTTTAATATCATTAATTTGGAAATTTTTATTAAAAAAAAAAGAAATAATCCAGTCATCTTAAAATAATAATTTTTTTTTGACTTATTTTAAATTAAGAATTTGAAAATAATATTTGTATTTATCTATAATATCTTTAAAAAGAAAAGAAGATTTTTGTAATTGAATAATTAATTAAATTCGATAAATAATAATAGGGTTAAATATAAAAAAAATATTTTTTTACATTAAAAAATAAAAAAATGACAATTAATTTAAAACAAATTTAAAATAAAAAATGACAGTTATTTGAAATAGAA